GCTTTGATTAAATATCTCAGACTGAGTATTCCATCAACATTGGAAGCCGTTTATTGAATCCCACACACCCGATAAGTCCGAGTCATCACTTAATCACACCCTATGGCCGGTTTCTGGTCTTTATTGCATTTAACCCTTTCCACCCGGTGGAGCTCCAATGGAAAGCCAAAGCAACCTTGAAACAATTTAAGAAACAAAAGCTCCTTTTCTTTTTTGTTTCTCACCACCTCCCACAATACAATTTTCATGACAAATCAAATTATGGCAGAAATGCTGCACCACTGGCAAATTTTTGACTAACACTTAAAATTTATGAGTAACACAACATTTGCAGCATAATTTGATTCAGCACGAAAATTGTGTTGAAACAGTTTGCAGTTTCCACCGTGTGAAATTGATTCTGGTCTTGGGTCGTCTGTCTAATCAACTCTTCAGAAGATGCTTTCGGAGGGGAAAGTAACTTGCAATCTACAGCAGTGAAACAGAAATTCAATCTATACTTTACTGCCAGTGTATTAATAAACAGAAGTTACACAGTGCTATTTACTACACAAGACGTCTCAAAAGAAGTGATAAGACGCTATATCAAACACAAGAATTATTATTTATATTTCTAATAGTGTTAATGACGCACATACAAATGAATTTCGAAACTCTGCTCCTCCTCCTGCAAGTGTTTTCCAAAGGCCAGAAGTATTCTACAAATTTAAATTAAGCATAACTTTTTTTTAAAAAAAAGTCTTAAAATCCCTTCCTAAATTGTTTCACATACATTCTATGCATGAATGAATCGCAGGCCCCAATGTTTCCACTGCACACAAGCTGGTCTGCCCATCTATAAGAGACTGTAGATCCAGCAAAATAATTTCACATTATTTAGTGTGAGCAAAAAGTAGGTCCCCTCACAAATCGATTTTGAGGTGGAAGATATATCGCATCGCTTCCAGCACCATAAATGGGGCATAAATCACTTTGATGCAAAACAGATTTGCATCAGAGGTCAGTGTTTGTAAATTGGAGAATAGAAGACAAAGAAGAGTGTAAGAAAATTCAAAAGCAGGAATGCAAGGCTAGCTAGAAATGATTAATTATTATGGGTACAAATCTGAGTTCAAGTTACTTTCTGAGAGTAGGAAATAGGACAATGAGTGAACAGCAGTAGTCAGAAAGTTACTTTGAAGAAGTAGATGATGAAGGTTGAATTTTGCACCTATGATGATTACTAAGTTAGAAGCAATTTGCCCTTTTATTAACATGCAGCTTTAGATTGGGAATTATTAATTTTATACATATAACAAAAGACAACACTCCTTTAAATTGTAGCATTATAACTGATATAATGTGATGTTTGTAAAGGTAATGACTACAGATTTTGTATGTGTGTAATTCAAAATAGATTTACAATATTATTTTGTACCACAAGATTTGCTTATGAAGCAATAATTCCCAATTCAATTGCACCTGAAGGGAATAATAAAGCACTCCTGATCGCATTTGAGGTGGCATGTTAGAGGTGACCTTGTTTTTCCATTTGAAAGGATTTGAATTTTAATCTTATAACTTTTCTAAATGTTTAGACATAATAAGAATACCATTCTTCATCTTATATGTGGTGTTGGTTTAAAAGCATAGTCGTAGACATCAAATTTATTTGTGCTTAGGTGGTTTCAAATCCAATATCACTAGCATAAATTCTTAATAATATTTTACGTTGGATTCTAATGTATAATTTGAAACATAATTCATTTATTTTAGGACTTCCAAAGGTAACCAAAGGGTCAATGGTAATGGTACCTCACCATTATAGTTAATTACTCATTTCATCCTTTCCATGCACACTTGTTGCATTTTCCCAGTCGTTGTGTGAAACAGGATCAGAGACTACACTTTAAGACAGGCACTAGCTTTTTCTTATTAAGACAGGGTTCTGAAACTGTAAAAAAAAAGCATACGTATAGAGTGGTTTGCAGAAAAAACACTTGTGACTTGTATTTCTATGAAAAGTGCAGGAATATTCATCACAACATTCCCAGGTTACAGGGACCAAATGGGTCATTCTGATAACTTTTAACTCTTGTCTTTTGGTTATCCAGGATTGGACTAATAATCAAACACTGAACCGCTTAAAAACATACTTGCATGGGATGTTACAAGATGGTCTTTGCATGTGAAGTCGTTCACAGAGTTGGTCTGTTGTGGAGTGGAAGGCAAACCTTTCCAAATGTTTTCAGTTGGTTGGGTTTTTCTTGCACAGGTTAGGCTTGGCCCTTTGGTCTGCATAAATTGCAAATATATTCTTATAAGTGATGTGTGACATGTTTTTTAGAAAATATTTTTAAACAAACATAATGTGTAATAAAAAGCAGAGCATCTCGAGTGTGCAAATGCCTAGCTCACTGTTGGGCCCATGGTAAACTGGATGTTATGTAATAACCTGCTTCTACATTTGTCTCTCAAACAGCACAAGTATCTCAACAACATCATAAGAAAATTCCTCCGCAAAAGAAGCGAGTTCCCCCAAATAATTAGAAGGCACCAATTTCTTCAGAATCTTATATCCAGGGTAGGAAATTTTTTTCACTGTTTTATTTTTTACTCCCACCTTTTCATCTGCATCCCCCCACACGGCATTTCTATCTGGAAATAGGTGACAACCCAGAGCACGGCTTTCTTCACGAACTGTTGTTTCGTGAAGAGAGGCTGCTTGTGCAGACCGATGAGGTGACTGTAGCCATTGATCACCCTCTGAGGCATCTCAGACTCTAGCACTCTGTCTAAGCAGTCTGCCTGAAAATTGATAGAAGCACTTTTAGTAATGGTACGACAGGCTGTAAAGTGACAGTTGTCCCCCTGAGCGCATGCCATGCCTCGGAACTGCCATCTCCTGTGCTATTAGTGACTTCTGTGTTATCAGAAATTCAGAGATCAGAAGCTTTAAGTCCAACTTCCCAGTTTGAGAATCTCAGAATTTAATGGAATTTTAGAATTTGTAATGATTTTATTACGTTAACGAACTACCTGTTGTGATGCAAAAGAGAAGCTGACAATAAATAATATATAATGACAGCAATAATAATCCTCGCATCTCATCACTTCGTCGAGACTTCTCAAAGCGCCTCACAGGAATGACTGTATCTGCATTTTAAAATATCTTTTCAATCATAGAACACTTCAACATTAGATTTTTTTTGCTCTACAAATAAATTTGTACGTGTGTCTCAGAAAAACAGTTACAACAGACCGATGGTTTACGCTGGCTGGATTTTAAAAGAATAAAACAATTTGAAAGCAGTTCAGACAACTTCAAGGAAATGAGTGAATGGAGTTAATTAAAAAGCATTCCAACAAATACCTGTTTTTCTGCCCTGAACGGTGAAATCAACAGCTCCTTCAATAACCCGAGCTCCAAACAGCTTTCAAAAAAATCTCCGACCATTTCATCAATACAGTCTTCACACACTTGTCCCCTGAGTACATGCATGCCTCTGTAATGCACCTGAAGCAATTTAATAAACTTCAGTCAGTGTTGACATTGAATTTTAATTTTGCATGATGGAACTAACTGTGAATTCATAGCGTATTCTACGAGGGCAACGTTTTTATTATGCTGTTAATCAGCTTCTGTCAAAAGAATCTTGTCTAATGATTGAGGCACAAATACATAATTGTTCTGTGTGTTGGTTGCCGGAGACATTGTGGCATGTCTTGCTACTAATATGGGAGTGAAAAATTCACTCTTGTGTTCCTTTGGTGCTCATCATAAACATGAACTGTCAGTAAGGTGGAAGGTTAAATAAGCAAGTTATCGAACTGTCTGATTGGATTTTCTGATTGGAGTTAACAAGAGTGTGTTTCTTCCCATTCAAATTGAAACAAATCTAGATTTGTTTCAACAGGAAAACCCTTCCAAACCTTACATGATGTGTGCAATGTCTCCAAAAGTTCATCAATGGTTACCTCTTCTGTTTCAACCAATTGAAGAGGCTGGTGAGGCAAGTTAGAGCAGCCGAAACTGTTACCAGGAAAAAACACAAGCTATCTAACAGGACAGATGACTTAAAGAGAAATAAGAAGATCTTCCAAGATGTATTTTATTGCCTATACACAGACGAGACAATTTACGTTTATTCTGTGATGCATTTGCCATCTTGCCTACCTGTTGTGAAGCAGCACAGCGATATGTAACTTGCGCTCCTCTAGATTTGCTGGTCTCATAAACTGAATGTATTTGAGTGCACCTTGAACCTCTTCATTCAACAATGCTTTAGTAATGCACACTGGATGCCATGGAAGCCAGGACCTGACAAGTGGGAAGGATGGATGAAGTAGCACATCTAAGGCTGCCTGCAACACAGTACAAAATAATATTTTCCATTTGTTTGTTCAGTCTTTAACTGGCGGATATTCACTTTGCTTTTACTTTTGCCCCTTCTTAAACTAGCTGGTAGTATGAGCTGGAACGAACAAAGCAAATTGGTATTGGAACAAATGCAGAGAACACAAAGATCCTATGAACTACAAGAAGAAATAAATGCTTTAATACAACAATAAATTGTATTTATATAGCGCCCTTTCAGAGCATTGTACTAGACATAGACTTATCCTTCCCTTTTCTGTCATGTGAACATGCGCCAGTGTTGCCACACGTTATGTAAGTGCAACAGACGTTCCCCAAAATTGTAGTTCAATAAACTTTCAATTATATTACACATCACAGGTTATATTGATTGCTTTTTGGTGCACAAGAACACCCTTCGGGTCAGCATTAGTGGTTGGGAATACGGAATCGGGTAAGCAAGGTATTTTCTTTCAGCCACGTTTGAAAGCTGATCTTGAACACTAAACAAAAAAGGGTTTTATTCTGTGCATCACAACAAATAGCAAACCACCTACCAATGTCTGCTTTTGATCAAGCAGCCAGAATCCTTCAATTAGTCGAGTAAGGCTGAGCGGCACACTAATCACCGAGGAAAATCCATGCAGGATATCTTTCCCGATCTGATCAAAATGTGAAACATCCAGGAGGAAATAAAGAAGCTAAAGGGAATGGTCAAGGCATATCATATTGTACATTGGTTGGTGATTTGTTGATCTACATGAAAAAAAATCACTCCCAATGGTTTGATTTTTGTTTGAAGTTTCACTGAATTGCAGTCAACAAAATACCAGTTTCGCCTCCCTCCCCATCAGGACCCACAGATTGCTGCAGCTAAAGAATTAATGCCCTCTCGCTGACAATACACCCCCCTCTCCCCCCCCACCCTTACTACGAAGTCTGAGTACTCTTGCTGCATCTATCACTGTTTTGTCCTACAACACATGGGGAACCACTGCACTGTCATCGCACTATCCCATATTAGAACCTTAATGTCAAAAGCCATTCACTCCCAAGGATACAGTACAATCAATCAAGTGGTCTTCATCTGATACCTTTAAATACAGCTTTAAAAGGGCCTAGAAAAAAAAAGAAATACCATTGACAAAAACTCTTGTAGCATACACACACACACACATATTTAAATATTACAAACATTTTACCTACAGTGTAGTTGAAAGTATAAGTTAAAAGATTTATTAATCACACGTCAGTGGCAATATTTACTTTCAGAGGTAAAATGATCGCAGGTTTTCTGAAATGCAAGCCTACCTTCAAGCTGGATGGCGGATAAACCCATCCATCAGCATTGCTTCCATCCCACAGAAAGTCCTGTTTCTTTGCTAGATGTGCCACCATTCCATCTATCATTAATCCAGAGTTGTTCCATTTCCTGCCGTAATTATTACAAAATAACACACCTGATGAACAGGGATTCAAAGACCAAGTCTCTATGTGGTGAAGATCCTTTTAAAAGATTGCACGTGTGCATCAGGAATCTCAAACCATCCACACTCTAGTGCTAAAACAAAAAACTTGCCCCAACTGCTGCATGCGACACTCTGTATAATGTTGATCCATTGCCAGCCATATCTTTGAAATCCTGCTGCATTCATACTGGTCTGGAAAAAAAACGTATTGTAATATTTTAACAACAAACAAACAATACTGTTGAAATATTTGTAACTTATACAAATGTGGTACATTTTCATTAAAAGCACATCCAACAACAGAAATTACCACAGTTTCCAGGAAGGAGTCCAATATGGAAGCACCATCTTACTACTCGAGCAAGCTTTATATGTTGCTCAACACTCTTATATTCTTCTTCTAAGATTTCTGCAAAAAAATAGAAAATGTCCCTGAAATAGTCATGTTGAAGGGCAGCAGTCCTGTTAACAAATGTCTAACTTCACTACTATCTGGACAAACACATTGAATATTTGATGTTCTGTAAGTGAATATCTTACTCCATAATGGGCTGCTTGATCTTCGACTGAGAAGGTAGACATCAACAACATTACATTTGTATAGCGCCTTTCACGTCAGGAGGATGTCCCAAAGCGCTGGACAATCAGTGTATCGGACCCGAGCTGAGGATCAGGGAAGGTGGAGGCCATGGGGGGGAAGGAGGGTGACCAAGGGCATGGTCGAAGAAGAGGGTCTTGAAGGAGGCAAGGGAGGGGGCGAGGCGGAGGGACCGCGGGATGGAGTTCCAATGGGTGGGAGCAGAGTAGCAGAAGGCCCGCCCGCCAATGGTGAGGCGGGTAAGGCGGGGACATATTCCTAGATTTTTGCCAACGACTGTCAATTACTGGTTGATAGCATTGTAACTTGCCTCTTCCCCTGATTCTCCTTTCCTTGGATGCATTTTACCTTCTTTTAGCACCTTCCCACAATAGCCTGACAATGAGTACTGTATTGCATAATGTGCTTGAGCCCAACCAAGCTCCCCTCCTCCATAGTATGGTATGTTGAGCTATCCACTCCACCACTATACATCTACAAGGTTCTGTGAAGGGTTTCCTCATGTGTCTCGAAAAACTTTCCAGTGAACAGTACAAGATGTAAAATCTATCATTAATACTGTAATACAAAACTCAGTTACGTTAACATTTTCATATTCCCGTGTTCTACACATTGTAAAATGTTCCATCTCCGTCGTGAACCATCACGTTGCGAAAGTACAAAATGGTAATAATTCTCTCAAATTGCTTTTTGCATACGTGTAACTTCTCTATGACCCTTTTGCGGCTTCCAGAACAGATACTGTAATGTGACAAACTGGCCTATTTCAGTTATATGATATGCTATTATTTTAACAATAGATTACAGTTATATACTGGCTTTCGCATCGGGAGGACGTCCCAAGGCGCTGGGATTTTTCAATTTAATCACAGCTCACCTGATTCTTTCTTGAGTAGAGTACGATGTTCAAGCACCTTTATGACTGCAGCAATATTTCTCATTAGTTTTTGCTGTTTTATTATGTATTGAAGTGTTTGTTGGTCTAGAAATATCCATGAGTTCATGCAACAGCTAAAACCTAATGCATTGAAAAACAATTCAAATGTTTTCTTCTTTCTCACGCCCATTTCACAATTCATTTATATTATTGAAAATGCATATATGCATATTTTGCCCTGGTTCAAAGTTATTGACCACATACAGTTAATACCCGCACACAAGTTTCTACTTTCCTTCCCAATGTCATATTTCTTCACTGAGGCTTCAGTTGTTTCACTGCTAATACCCTTCCCAAGACCCCCACCTTTCTATATAATAATAATAATCCTTGCAATTAATATAATGCCTTATCATGTAGTTGATGTGTTTCAAAGCACTTCACAGTATATACTGTAAAGTGAATTGACTGTATATTTTGTGGGCGAAACGCAGCAGCCATTTGTGCACATATGGATAAGAAATACTATCAAATACCTTGAAGGCATTTCAGCAACTCCTATCAATATCCTGATTATTTTTGACAGCTCTGCACTATTGGTGCAGAACATTGCATTTGTTCCTACGGAACTATATTTAGTGCAAATTCATCAGGACAGTTTTCCAGGCAAAACTATCATCTTCCTGACTTGTGCCAGATGGAAGTGCATTGAATGATGATAAAGCATTATGGGTGAGTTGCCTTATCATAAGTCGGTACATGACATAAGTTGTTTATGGTGCACACTGGGCATGCTGTTCCATTGCTATGTATTTTGCCTACAGTGAAAAATTACTGAACATTTCTACTGCTGTACCTTTAAGTAAAATTTTGCTGGTAACTTCTGTTACCTTTGCTGTTATGAATTGGGATTGTCTGTATCCATAAAATAAATTAAGCAAATACATACAAGGTAGTATGGCGTAAAAAATGCTATGTGATTCGATAATACTTGGTGTAGGCAATTGACAACAATCAGGTGGTATCTGGCAAATTGAGGAAGGAGAGTTGAACACAAGGCAGGGTATAAATACCGGGCACTAACTAGTCTAAAGTTGGAACAGACCCAGGAATGAAGAAGACGAGGAGAAGCTATCATTTAAATAATAAGAAACTGCTACTACTGCAATTATTTATTCTCTTCTCCGGATTGGTAACTATGTCTTTCTGTACAAATTAATTCTGCCATAATATTTGTGCAACTCACACAAACGTCTCTGTGACCTTGATTATCTTGGTGTCCAAATACACCAACATTTCACATAAACAATTTGATCATGAGTATTCAAAACAGCTATTATGCAAAATTATTAACAATATTCTATTGATCTTTCTCTATCAGATGTGATCAATCTACTACGATTTTCCAAGGTTCTTTTTTTGGAGGGTAGGGGAGGAGGGTTAACTAGTATATTCAAATGGGAATTCAGTATATTCGTCACTTCTTGCTTTGTTGGTTCTTTTTGCAATTTATAAATTTGACCATTAATTATGCAGATTTACATGCTCTTCCTTAGCATCTTAATGATGTACTTACACAGTCTGATTAGTTCCTCTTTACTCTGAGCTGCTACCTTCTGAATCCAGTTGCACAGAACCTGTGACCATCTGATGCATTTGATCGGATCTAAGCACACAAATAAAAATCACAGCTCTCAAAACCATGTCCAGAGGCAGAATTTCGTAAAGACTTCAAAAATATGTTGACTGACCAGCCGCTGCACATTTCAGTGGCTGCAGGTTCGAGCCCCTGAGTGTCTGTCTGTCACTCTATGATGGCCGCAGTGGAGATGGATTTTATTTATTCTCAGTTGAGCCACTGGATATTTTTGAGTTATAGTGCAATTGTTTAAATCAGGCACCTCTGAAATATGTTGGTCTGTGTGCACCAGACAGACTGACTACACTTCAGACAGAATCATCCACCTTGAAAACAGGGAAAATTGTTAAAGAGTCACTCACCTTTACAGTGAGAGCATCTCCTGTTTATTGGTCAAAGTGGTGTTAAGAATCATAGCATATAATGCTATTATAATAGCCTATTGGCTAGACTGCCCTCTCTGCCCAGAGCAGAGAAGGAGCTGACAAAAAGAAGGGTGGCCAATAAGATAAAATAAATTATAAGTCAATTCCTTACCTTCATCTGTAAGTGTTTTAATCTGATTAATTATCATTGTGATGTTGTCATCCCTTAAAAAGCGTGTTAAAATATCTTCCACTGCTTCCTCCTGAAAGAACAATAGCAATGCAATCAACGCTGAGGTGATGGTACCGTGAATACATTCTTACGGTGTGAAGATCAGGGCACTTTATTGTGCGTGGGATTCAGTTTTAATTCATGATTAGAAGCAGTCAACGTGAACAGTTCTCATTATGTCCGATAATTGGATATCATTAGCAAGTTTTTCACTTGGTCCTCGTTTTGCCCTTCTCTAATGATCTCACAAACCATTTTTTCTTAAGTAACAAGTTTCCCTGAAAATTGCAAATACCAACCACAATTCCAGTCCTGGGAGGCCTCTAGTTCTGAATAGTTTGCATTGGTTTTAAGCTGCTCAGCTCGTGACAGTGCAGTGATGTTAATGGCAAGCCAAGTTTCTACTGACTGGAAATCAAGCTTGAAAAGTAATCAAACAACTATCATGAGCTCGAAGTTCAGTTCTGCCATGTACATGAACGTAACAAAAATACTATTGCTAGCAGATGTGAGAAACAATAGTGAATGAAGAAACAAAACAGTTGAAGAAGGCCACCTTTTCCCCTGATGAAGTCTAACTTAGTCGCTTTCCAATGAGGAAACATGATGAAAATCATCTGATTCAATGACGTTTGCTCCAAAAATAGACCAATACACAACTTTTTATCTGACAGTTAAGAAATGAATTAATTTTGCTCTTCCCCCCACACCCCCGTAACAAAGTATTCTGTCAGAACAAAAAAAAACTTGATTCCTTTCTCTGAATAACCATTACTTCAGATACATTTTTCATACAGTGCTTTAAATTGCACACTTGGGTGCATTTTGCAACCAGAATTACTTTACATTTCAATAGCCAGTGATGCTGTAGCATGGCATTATCAGGCCTGGGCCTCAAACAGATCTATTCATGTGCAGCACTTTCAAATCTGGACGAGAATTTCTTCCACAGAATATGACAGATTCCAGAAATACTTTACAGATGCAAGAGATGAATCAGATCGAGGCTGTCATGTTACTCACATCTACCTGAGACCAGGACTGATGTTTTGGCAGATTCCCAGCGTGCTGAAAAGGATCAGACAATCTGCCCATCTCTCCCCACTTAGAAGTGACCTGTTAGTGCAAAGGTAAAATTAATTTAAACTTGATCCAAAATAGAGTAAACAAAACAATGCATATATGTATTAGAAACACAAGGTTACAGCTTACCCACTGACTAATTCCTATGAACGTACTGTGGTGTATTCCATTTTCAAGTAACATTTGAACATCTTTAAAAGATAGAGACATAA